GAGCTCAGCTCGGCTCAATTTATTTAGTAAACGAGCCGAATTTGAACTCGAATATTAGACTCGTTTAGTAAACGAGCTGAGTTCGAACTCGAATAAACTCGGCTCGTCAAGCTCGGTTTCTTTATCTTTATTTAAATTATATAATAAATATATTATTTATACATTATTTATATATTAAATAATATTAATAATAGTTTTTATTTAAATGATTTTATTTAAATAATATTAAAAAAATCTTATTAAACTGAGCCGAGCCGAGTTCGAGTTTCATTAATATTAACGAGCTGAGTTGAATCGAGCTCGAACTCAGTTACTTATCGAGCAGAGCTCGAGCTCGAGCTTAGGAAAGGTTCGACTTATTTGTAGTCTTACTTCTCGACCTCCAGATCTACCTATTCTAGCCTTCGGCCTCTAGAAACGTCGCCACCATTTTACTACCTAAGCTTGGGACAGAGGCTTTATTTTTATTTTTTCCTGTTTCTGTATTTTTGTTTTGTTAGTTGTTTGATTGTGTAACTCAGAGTTCATTGGTGGTGATTGTAAAGCTTGACCTTCCTGTGGTTATAACTTATGATTTATCTCAGACATGCTTTATTGACGATCTCTTATAATTGGCTCTACTCTGCAGTACGAGTATGAGCACGAGTTGTGTGTCTGAATATTTTTATAAAATTTTTTCCTTTGTGCTTCTTGTAATATTTTTACTTTATTTGGTATAAACTTTTTTATTAGATAGACTCTTCTATAAATACCACTTACTTTAATGAATTTTTTTAGTGATTGAAAAAAAATTATAAACAACTCTATAAATTATACCAAACAATCTATTGTTAACTTACATATATATATGATCAAAGAATGATATTAAACAAATGAAGAATCATTGCAATGGAATGGTAAACAGCAGACAAATGCCACTGCAATCGATGTCATTGGCATCATGAGAGATGATGATAAGAGAGTTGGGCATGAATTCATGAGTAGCTTCCACACACACCACATGGGTTGTAAAACAAATCACATGAATCTTATTAATCATGTTTCTATGTTGAGTTTTTAATTATATGGGGACACTACAAAGGTACATTTTTTTGTGTGAGAAACAGTCGACATAGAGGAAATTTGTTCTTTTTCTTTTTTAATTTTTATTTAGGTAAGTTCTGGTGTGGAACCTTGATTTTGAGGTACTTGGATTTGTGTGGATTTCAGAAGGAAAAGCTTTGTTGTTATTTTTTCAAACAATATAACATTTAATTTAATAAAATATTTTTGAGTTGAATTTTAAGAATGAATTGTGGGTTTTAGATTGATGAATTTTAAATAGTATGGTGGATATATTTGAAACAATTTTATAATAATATTAGAATGATTATGGTTTTTTATTTATTTATCATAGTTTATTTGAAATTTTATGTATCAATATTGTATCGATGAGTTTCTCTATAAATTATGAAAAGTTATAACAAAATTTGTCTCCCGAATATAGAAGTTAAGTGGATACCTCATCTCACTTTCAATAATAATAAAAAAAATAGCTGTTTAAATTCGTGACAACTTTCAAAACATAGCGATCATAAATAATGAGATCTTTTAAACCAACATAATATTGATATGAATAATATTTTATTCACACAAAAAAGGGTGCTCGAATTAGCCCGAATGAGGTGGCAAGCTTCAATAGCAAAATTGTCCACTCGCCCAAACCCCCCTCAAACTCTCTGTCTCTCTCTCTCAAACCGTCGATCGACGACAATGTTTAGTTCAGTGCCGCCGTCGAGAAGAAACGATCTCTCTCAAACCACCGATCATCGACAAGAGTAAACACGAACTAGGAATATAGATTTTTCTTGAATCAATTAAAAATATTTTGACTTGGGACTGGAGATAGTCTTTATTTTTTATGAATTTGAGATTATTGATTTTTATGAGATAGTTTTGATTAGAAATTGGGAAACTCAGTGGCGGTCGGTGTTTGCAATGGTATGGTGGTGGTTGGTGTTTGTAATGATATGGTAGTCGGTGGTGGTTGGCGTTCTCAATGTTGTAGGGTGTGGTTGTCGATGGTGGTCCGCCGTGAAAAGACAGAATAAAGAGAGACCATAGAGAGAGAGAAAACAAAGTTTTTTTTTCATAAAAAGAATAGAGAGAGATCAACACAAAGAAATATATTTTTTTTATTTTTTATTTGGTACCCATTTTTATTTTACTTTATTCTTTTCTTAGTTTGGTTGCTTAGAATCTGTGGAAAGTTCAAAATTTGAAAGAAAATAACAACTGGGTTATCTTTATGAGTAAAAATTAATTAACATGGCTCTATTGTTGAAGGAAATGAGCATTGGAGGTTTGAATATCTAAAACTTCTTCTAGGTCATTTGGGTCATCTGGGTTTTATGGGTTAGGGTTTTATTTTATTTTACTTCTTTTGTGTTTTCCTCTGCTTTCTCCCCAGCCAAACAAAAAGTGAGAAAGAGGAGAGAGAGAAGATGCACGTGAGTGTGTTGCTTTTCTGATTCCCAGGCCCGTGAAGCCCACACACAAATTGGGGCAATTGGGCCTAACACAGCACACGCCGTCTCCACCTCATTCAGGCAAATCGGGATACACCATATTCAATAGATGTAGCAGAATTGTATTAATGTCTGAAATGAAAAGTAAATATTATATTGATAACATTATTACCCATATTAAACTAATAATTTAGGAATCTATAAATTAGTCAGTATGATCCATTACAACCTTTTTTAAAAAGAGAGTGTAAGTTCCGAGTCCCCGTGGAAGGGAATAAGGTACGATTGCTCCCAATTGTGTGACACCTAGGGGTGTGTGCGGTGCGCGTCGGTATGGTTTGAGAGAAAAATAGAAACTGTATGGCGGGTGGCGGATTGATAAAAGTGTCACTAGAATTTGCCATTTTCCTTATCAAAAACCGGCGGTTCGGTTGGCAAATAATGGTGGATTTGCCTTGGCGGTTCGGTTTCATTTAATTTTCTTTTTATGAATAATAAGAATGTCATGACTCAATTGATTTGTTTCACATTATCACAAACAACAAATGTATTTGTAATAATATCAAGGCTATATTTATTTTGTCACATATTACACATCTAAGTAGTTTTACTAACATAGAAGGAAAAAATAAAACAAAAATAAAGAGAAATTTGGCTATAAACCCCTTTACTTTCCTTTCATTGTTAGAAGGAGTAAGAAAAAAATTATACTTTATAAACCCTCTCATAATTATAAAATCTTGCATAAAGGACAAAATTTATTATTTAAATATTTTATCAGACTATTATACCCTCACATATACACAACCTA